TTGGACATTTTTAAGTAAAGATGTTACAAATCCTCCTTCTCATATATGCATAGGCAAAGTTTTTCAACAAAATAAAATAACAAAAAACACCTAAATTGAAATAAAACTCTAAATTCAAGCAAAAAATCTAATTTCAAAGAGAAGTACTCCAATTAGAGAGAAAAACTTTTAGGTGTTTGGAGAGAGAATGAGAAAGAGAGGGAGAGAGTTATGGTACAATAAATATTTCATCACTAGTGTCTAGTAGAATATCCATATCTTCATCATATTCCGTTAAAGTTACATATTATTTTGTTCTAGTACAATTATGATAATAATTTGATGATCTATAAATCATATTGTAACAATATAAACAATACAACATCTAGAATAACCATATCTTCATCATATCTGGAATGTCTACAATGTTTTCAAAGTTGATTTAACTAGAAGTCCAGTTCTAACATATAAAGCCTTGTGTTTGTTGCTAATGATCTTATCACTGAAATAACGGGGTAAGGGCACATATACCACTTGTATTAATTAAAATGGAAACAATCATCTCCAAAACGAGGAAGTTACGGTGACAATGGGATCTTGATTTTAGTAACAATAACTAAAATGGGGACATAAGAGCCGAATTCCAAAATCACCATATATCATTCATTTCTATTTCATAAATGATAATAATAATAATAATCATCATCATCATCATAATAATAATAATAATCATAACAAATTAGGACAACCAAACTTGCTAGCTAGCAAGTAAAACCAAAACAAAAAAATAAAAGTAAAACAAAGGGAAGCAATATAACATTAATCTGTACCACACACACACGGCAAAGCATACAACATTATAGAATGATTAAAAAAAAAAGAAACTGAAATCCAAAGGGAAGAAATGAACAACAGAGACTGAATCTGTAAGCAATACCAATATAACAATACCAATATAAGCAAAAACCACAAACAATACCAATATAGCTCATCTTTACCATCAATCTGAGAGTGAATACAAATAAAATAAAAAACCAATACCACAAACATAGATCAAAGTATGTACAATAGGGACCGAATCTATTCCCTTTTCTCCTGCCTCCCCAAGGTTGAATCAAAGTATGTACCGAAACAAGAAATAAAAATGGAGGCGAAATACCTGTTTCGGTTTCCAAAGAAGAACAAGCAAAAACAATTGTTCTGAATCCGAAGTATGTGAAAACTAAAATCCAACACGAGAAAAAAAAAAGTTATGGAAAAGAAAAAACAAGTAAGTAAACTAAAATCCAAAGGGAAGAAATGAACGAACGGGGATGGGTTTTACCGTGACCGTGTTTGCTTGTAGCGGAGAAACACCGGTGGCGAGTGGAGAGGAAAGAAGAAGAAGAGAAAGAAGAAGAAATGAGAAGCGTCAGTGGTCCGGTGGACTGAGATCAGGCGGTTGTCCAGTGGCCTGAGATCAGGCGGCGGAGAGAAGAGTTGAGAGAGAGTGGAGAGAGAGAGAGGAGACTGAGAGACCGAGAGAGTTGAGAGAGAGTGGAGAGAGGAGGCGGCCGCAGCTGGGAGTGGGAGATTAGAGAAAGAGAATAATAAATAGTGAAACTTTTTTTTTATCCTGGGTAATAAACGGGTTGTATAATCGTGTTACCTAAATATGACACGTTTAATAAACGGGTTATGACGGGTCAATTGCGGGTTGACGGGTCAACCTGAAAATGACACATTATTTAATCGTGTTTCACGGGTTTGATCTGATTTTGACCCGAACCTATTTATGATAAATTTAAACCCGTTAATTTCGTGTGAATTTCGAGTCGTGTCGTCGTATCACTACCTGGATTGTCAGCCTTAACCATAGTCTTAATGACATAAATAACAGGATAATCAAAAACTATGGTTATTCTTACGATTTTCTCAAAGGGAAATGGCTCTTTGCCAAGTCCAGAACGTAATGGGCCCATTCAAAAGACAAAACAAGCGCTGTTAATTTAACATCTTTTTTCAAACGTAATCTTTCCTTGTTTTGGTGCTTAAAATGAAACGTAAAAAGAGGAAAAAGCTTAGAGAGAGAGATAGAAAAGGTGAAACTTGGTTGGATATTAGGCAAAATCATCACTGAGCTTTGTTGCAAAGAGATTTGGTACATTAACTTAAAGAGAGAGAAAGATATATACTTGGACACCACGATAGTAAAAAGTTAATGAGCATAACCTAAATAAGTATGACAAAGAGCCTTCATACTGATAAGGGGCAACTCTACAACTCGGTATTAGAAAAGAAGTTTTTTCGATACTGCATTTGACCGGTAGTTTCAGTTTTTAACTGTTGAATATAGTCAAAACAACATTAGATTGAAAAAATATGTAAAAAAAACATATTATAATACAAATTTGACGACTGAAAAATAAAAAACTAACAGTAATCATTTTTTCAGAGACTACCAGAGAAATTCTTTAAAAAAAATAAAGTGACAATTTATAACCGTAAGATATCAATCAAATTTCCTAAGATGTCATAATTTTTTGAAGCTAATATGATTTTAACATGGCGTTAGGAGAATGAGATTTTTAATCTAAAATGAACCCTCTTCGATTCACAAACAGCAATTTGAACCATTTTTCAAATTTCAATAGTGGTTTATGGAATTAACCCCATAAACCAATTGGCACAATCTGGTCTGACAATCCAAAAGTGTCAAAACATGTTTTTCATGGAAAATGCTGTATAATACCATTCCTACTTTTTTTTTTCTCTCATCAAATACCATTCTTACTTTTTTTTTTTTTTTTTGTGTGCTGGAAGTACCATTCCTACTTAAAACCTATTCTTCATCAATAGATTACATTTGTCTATAGATCCCTCTTCTTTTTTTTTTTGGGGGGCGGGGGGACCTATTTAAATTTCATGACTAGGGTTACGGAGAAAGTGCTCTTTTTTCATGTCTTATCAGAGATGTGGGATAAAAACACACCATATGTTATAAAGAACCTTAGCATATCTCAAAGGTTGTACCATATTTACGGGTTAGATGTATAGGGTCCAATATAATTTGTCAATTATATAAGGGAAAAGTGCTGCTCCATTGCATGCCACCAATCAATCATAAACGAAGAGATTGGCTCTCAATCATTGTCGTACATGCCGTCCATCACATCATTAGCTTTGTTGCGTACGTCAATGTCATACGATCACCACTTTTTTTTTTAATTAATATAAGATATTGATTTTAAATTTTGACATTTAGATAAAAATCATTCCCTAGTGTTTGTTATTTTTCATGTTAAATCGGACATGTACTATTTAATGTCAAATTTTATACACCAAAATATAAGGAATGTCAAACGGACACCACTTTTTAAAGGGATATTTAGAGTTCGTTTAATACGAGAATTTAAATCAGGGTAATTTTAATCATAATTCTGAAATTAAAATTATGATTTATGATTTTAAGTTCAAATCATGATTATGAAACTATGATTCAGAATCGAGAGTTTGAATCACCTTAAATCAAGAGGGGGTGATTTTAGAATCATGATTTGAGCTAGTTTAAAACATCACATCAGATTATAAATCATGACTCATAATCATCCAAACCAAACACTTATTCTGAATCATGATTCAAAATCACTGTGAACAAACACTGATTCTGAACCAAGATTCAAAATCGTAATTCTAAATCCATCTACCAAACGCACCCTTATATTTTTAGTCCCAGTGTTTTAGGCTTATTTAAAGGGCATGTTTATAGTAGGGCGATTTACTTTCCCTTATTAATAGGGAGCAATTTGTGACCGTTTAAATTAAAATTGAATAGTTAACAATCAACATACAACACCTTATAGGGCGTATTTATAGTAAGGCGATTTACTTTCCCTTATTAATAGGGAGCAATTTGTAACCGTTTAAATTAAAATTGAATAGTTAACAATCAACATACAACACCTTATTCACTAGAAGCCCTCATTTTGTGATCATGTCCATATTGTGATCTTATTATCAGGAAGGGAAAAAAAAAAAAAAAAAACCAAAAAAAAAAGGGAGAGTGAGCTAATCCGCTAATGAATGTCTATCAGAATTTAGAGAACCAATGGGCTTTCATTAGTCAACCGGTGCGCAGCACAGTTGCCTAGCTCTTTTAAGAGTCGTAGGGCTTGTTCTTTCAGGTGATGTTTAGTAGATGGATTCGTTCTCTGATTTGAATTATGATTCGTGATTCGCTATAGTATTTTCTCTCACAAAAAATACACGTAAATCGAAAATGATTCTAATCACATGGTTCTAATTCATGAACCAAACGCAAAGTGAAAAACTCAAAAAAAGACAACTCGAGTTATAATTTTATTCAAGTTTATGTTATTTTAAGTTTAAATTCGAGTTCAAACTCAAGTTTAAGACTAAAACTTGAGTTCAAGTTTCTCGTTCAACTCGAGTTTAGAAACTCAAATTCAAATTAATGAACAATATTTTTTCTATTCTTAAAAATGCTATAACTTTTTCGTTTTAATTCTGATTGAGATAATTTTTTTTCTATATTTTGACAACGAAAAGACGAATAAAACCCGATCCATATACCCTATTAAAATTTTTCATCAACATTGAGTTTTTATTAAAATACTATCTAAATATAAATTCAAGTTTTAACCCACCCAAAAAGATTCTTATCTCAAACTTTAACTCAAATGTACACAACTAAATACAAACTCAAGTTACAAATTCAAACGTATAAATTGATTTGCTTTTCTTTTATTTATGGGCAAGCGAAGTGTTTCACCAATGTTACTGATACTTATTGGAGGGTGGAATACGATATTACTGCACAAAATCAAGTGGGTTCCGCTATTAATATGTTGTGCTCTATGCCCCAACCACTAACAAAATTAAATGCAATGCCACGCATTTCTTTTTCTACCCCAATCCAGATTATCATACCTGATTAATGTATTGCAATGATTTGACTCAGATTATTATTCAATATATTCCAATTAAATAGTTAGAACCCACCAACATAATCAAAGCCGTAATTCTTAAAAACATCACAGAAATCCCGAATCTCTCAAATTAACATAAGAAATAATACAACGCAGCTTCAACGACGCCCAAAATAAATTGGCACGACGAGCAAGCAAAGACCAACGACCATGACCGCGTCTTATTTTATTGCAAAAACACCCCTAAATAAACTACCCCAAAAAACATGAACAAACCAAACCACCCCAAGAGCGGAAACGCAATAGCGGATATACAGACGGGCTGTGACCTAACAACATACGACAGACACTCCCAATTGGGCCCAGTCCAAACAAGACATGAAACCTCAAACAAGTTCACAAACACGGACGCGCAAATATTTCCGCTTCCCCACGCGCCACCGCCTTCAAGCTCCGTCCGTCCCTCGGAGAAGTGCGCACTACGTACCCTTTCGATCTTGCAGAATAAGACCGGTAAACAATGCACCCGCCACGTGGCAGTTCCTGCCTCACCACGTCCACGCAGGCGTACCCCTCCACGTCCGCCCTTCTATGGGCCCACCTCCATGCGTCCCTACCAAAGCACGTGACTGCCACGGAGAACACGGTGGGCCTGAAACACGTCAGCACCTTCTCGATCATCCGGCGGAGTGGGACCGCCTCGGGATAAAAACCGCCGGCCTCGTAGCTGGCGTAGCTGAAGCCATCCTCTGGGGTCACGTGCACCGTAGAGTACGCTGCGCCCTCGATTCCGTTCATCGAGTAACCGCAGGGGTCAAAGTCAAAGTCGCAGATCACGTGACCCGGAATTATGTCGCTTACTCCGGACATTTTCGTCATTTCCTTGGCCGTATAGTTGTTCCTCTCTTTAAAAAACACAGCTGCCTTTTCCTTGCTCAATCCGGTCATGCACATCTCCAGATTAATCTCCGCCGTCCGATCAAATCCCCTCTCCGCCGACGCAAAGTACACGTGCCAGTTCCGATTCGGAACGGCCGGGTCGCCGATGACGTAAGCTCTAGGGCTGAACTCGCGGAAGAACTCGTTTAGAGCGGCGACTTCCTCGGCGAAGCTCCGGTGCGGAGACGGCTGGGCGTCAGGGAAGATGAAGCTGCCGCGCGAGTATTTGACAGAGGCGACGGAGAGGGAGATCGAATCAGCGAGTTTTAGGATTGGCCGGATCGAGGAGAGGAGCTTGGTGGTCCCACAGGTCTTGATGATGATCTTGAAGGGGAAGACGAAGAGGCTCGACTCCGAGAGGACGTAGGAGTCAAGCTCCGAGTTGGAGAGTTGAGAAACGATTGTGCAACACGCAGGTTCGAGAATGGAATCAATTTGGGATCGAGTTAGGGCCCGGAGACCCAGGCCTTTCGGGTCCGAGAAAATCGATGTCTCCGAAAATTTGATTTCAAGGCGTTTCTCAAAGCCTTCGAATCCGATTGGGGAAGTATTCGCAGCCATGGCCGCCGCGAGATGCGAGCTTCTGATTCTATTTTACACTATTGAACAATAAATTTTTCTGGCAAGAGTAAAAAAAAGAAAAAGAAAAAAGGAAAAGATTTGAACGGAGAAAAGGGGAATTCTAATCTACAGAAGGAGACATTATTTCCGACGGTCGTCTCAGGATGGCTTCCTTACGCACTGCAAAAAAATAAAAAATAAAAAATAAAGCAAAAGATGAGCAAAAATGGCGAAGAACAGAAACTATTCGATTTTGATTTGATTTTTCTGATGGAAAAACTTACGTTGGAATAAGCAGCAGATCTGAACTTTTCGATTCCACCGTTTGGACGAATATCTTCAATGCTGTAACCTAGAGGAGCTTCGTATTGCTGCGATTTATTATTACTACTACTACTGCTAGACTTCTTCTTCCCACCTTTGGTCTCCATTACAACATTCACGCTTTTTCTCTGCAACCAAACAGCCAAACAAACCCAAAAATACAAAAAGTGATATATCTCTCAATCGATTCCAAATCAAAAGCACAGCAAAAACACGACATATATATAAATTATGAGTTTCTAACCCTAGATTTACAGAATCAAATAATACCTTTCTTTTGTTCTTCAGATACGAATCTGATGGAAAATGGACGAGAAAAATCGATGTGAAAATTTTTCTTTTTTTCTGAGCGTTAAAAGATTGCAGAGGCGGCGCAGGAGAATGGAGAGAGTTTTTTATTTTTTATTTTTGGTTTTGTGTTGTGTGGTAGAGAGTAGAATGCGGAAAGGGAATATTTATAGCGAAGCAAAAAAGAACGGGAGTGGCGTTAGTAAAAGTGTTCCGCGTAGAAGTGCGTTTTTGAGGATTTGTTCGTGAGTGGATTTATAAAAAGAATTTCTGTGCTGTTGTGAGGTTGTACGTTGGGGAGCGTATACACGCGGCGTTACGCTGCTCCTAAATATAGGCACGTAGGCCAATATTGCTTGCCAACGTGTTCTTGACGCTTCAAATCTCTTTTTTTTTTTCCCCTCTACTTCTTTACCTTTTTTTTTTATTATTTAAAACTTTCTAAAATTTACATAAAATTACGTAAAAATTAATAAATTAATAAATTAATAATTAAAATAATTTAACATATCAATACACTAATTATATCAAAAAATCTTTCTTTTTTATTTAAAAATTTTGCTGATAAAATATCTCTAAACATGAACTGACTAATAATTAATATTAATTAAAATTATATTAAATTAAGGAAGTGTAATTTTTAATATAATTATGAAGGCTAAAATTAAAGACAGTATACAATATGACTCTTAACAATAATATATATTTTTTGTCACTGCATTTGATTAAAATATATCAAAATGAAAAGATTTACATAACAAATAATTTCTCATAAAGAAGACATATACAAATAGTCATTTTTCTTTTTAGATTCCACAATGTAAATCTTCCCCCTTTTTTCACCTTTTTAATTTGGAGAATGACGAATAATAATTCTTTTTAGTATTAAATTTGACTAATTTATGTGACAATTAATGGTTTAGAAAACGCCAGATTTCTTTAATTCATTGTAATTTTGAGATTCTTTCTATACTAATATCGTCAGTTCCCCTAAAAAAACATTGTAAGTTTGAGATTTCTTTCCACAATAATAATATTTGTAATTTTGGGATTCCTTTCTATACTAGATTTTCTTTTTTTTTTTTTGGGTTACTAGAAATCTTTCTACAACAACATCAAAATCAATATAGAAATAATAAACATTAAGTGTACTGACAAATGTGTTGAGACAAATTTTTCAAAAGAAAATCGGGACTTTCTCTAATAGTGCCTATATATTAAGATAGTCAGTTTATGACCGTTTAGATTTAATCAAAAATCATGTTAGATTAAAAAATTAATTATAAAACAAACAGTTCTAGAGAACTACCACTTTCAAAAAGAGAAGGAAAAAAAAAAGAGAGAGTATTACCGATATTAGAACTCCCAAATTAACGTTTGGTTTATAGATTTAAAATTATGATTCAGAATTATTTTCATTTTACGTGTGTTTTTTGTAAGAGAAAATATTGTAGCAAGTCACGAACCATGATTCGAATCATGGCACGAATTTTCCTTTCAAACGCACGAGAGTTTCCAATAGTGCAAACTAGATATTTGTATTACAGTAAGAAATGTATTTTTTTTTTTAGTCATTGGATTAGATTAATTTTTAACCATTAGTTTTTTTTTTAATCTTTGTACAAAATTATCCAAATAATTATACTAACTTCGTAAAGTTAGGGAAAAATACCAAAACACTTTGGATGAAGTTTCATTAAAAGAAAAGATAAATTATCAGTAATTTTTTATTTTCAACCGTTAAATTTCATCAAAATTATATCAAATTAAAGAAGTATGTAAAATATATAGTTTCTTACGCAGATCTAACAGCTTGAACCAAAGAATTACCAGTGCTTCATTTTTTTAAGCCTACCTTAGAAACTCCCCAAAATAAAAGAAAGAAACAAAAGAGAAATCTTTCAAATACTAAAATCCAAGAAAATTTATTTAGTGAGAAATGCTAGTGTGGACCGCTAGTATCCAGCATGAAACACTAATAGAAAGTGAGTCCAACAAGAAGTTTGAAACTTATCAATGATGATAAATATTAAAGTGTTTCAAATAGCATTATACACTAGAGTTAAAAAATAGAATCACATATCAAATATGTCATTTTCACACTTAAATGTAAATATTGAATTAGTGTGTCAAAGTCACATTTTAGCATTTGAGTAGTAAAATGACTCTTTAATCCAACCCTATATTTAAGTATCAAATTTAACATATGCTATTTTTGATGCCAAATTTGATATCAAAATAGTGACGTTAAATTTTAACATTTGATCTCTATAGGTTGATGTATCTACTTTTTTTTATTTAATCCTTATAATATCATTATTTTTATTAAATTATTTAAAATTAAACATTTACCTTTATGAATTATAAAACTTAGTAATTGAGACAAAAAGTACACAGCATTGATAAAGATCTTTTTTTTCTTTTCTTTTAAAAAAAAAGAACGAAAAAACGAGAAAACCAAATCAAAATAATCGAATGTGATCAACTAAAAGTCATATACGACACATGAAGTAAAAATATTATCTATTCCACCGTAGTAAAAATCAATCCGTTTCCGGGTGGAAGAAGTGAATGGACAAACGTTTCGTCCGTTTCTGCTTTTTTTTTTTTTTATTCCAACGTACTAAAGATCAATCCGTTTCTTAGATGGAGGAAGAAAAGGATGAAACTTTAGAGTATATTTGGCAGTGCTTCTTGGTCTGGATAATGATTTTTGATAAAAATCATAAAAAGTGATGTTTAAAGTGATTTTTAAAGAATTTTTAAAGAATTTACAGTTAAAATCAGAAGCAGCTTAAAAACAATTTTGACTTTCATAATCAGCATAGTACAAATGATTATGAACAAAGTTATATTAAATAATTAATTATTAATTACTAATTATATTATATATTATATATTAATTAATAATTAATAAATAGATATACTTAATAACTAATAAATAGATAATAATTACTTAACTATTAATTAAATATTAATTTATTACTATTAAGTTTTTAATTTTATTAAAAAAATAATAAATAATATATTAATTTTTTATTTAATTAAAGATTAATTGTCAAAAATTATTATATAACATACTAACAATAAAACAAGTAATAATAAGTTATTAAATAAATAATAAATAATTAATATATCAATCATATATTACGTTAATTATAATCTATTAATTAGTAAATAGTTAGTAAATAAAAAATAAATAGTAATTACTCAATTAATAATTAATATTAAATTATAATTATCAATATGTAATATATTAACCAATAATTATTAATAATTGATAATTAGTAATTGATAATTATAAAAAGAATAATTACCAATATTAATAAATTATGTATATATTAATTATTTTTCTTAATTACGCATAATCTAATAAATATGAGTGCATTATTAACATAGTAATTACTTATAATTAATTACTAATTACTATTTTTAATTATTTAGCATATTAATTCATTATATATATAGTTTAATTACTAATGTATTCATTAATGATAATTTATCCATTATTATTATATTATTACTACAGTAATTTTTATTTACTAAATAATTATCAATTATTAATTACTTTATATATTAATTTAATATTATTAATTACGGTCATCTTAACTACCCACAACAATTCAACTTCATAATTTACCAAACACCATTACACTGCTTTTGGAACCAACAACACTTGTATAATTACAGTTTACTAAACACTTAGCTGCTTTTTGTAAAACTATTTTTTCCTTCAGCACAGTTAAAAACAATTTTATCATAATCTACAGCACTACCAAACTGGCCCTTAGTCCATTTCTGCTTCCTCCTTTTTTCTTTTCCTCAAATTCTTTATTTACATCTTTTTAGTCATTTTCTTTTTGTTCTTCTTACTTTTTTTTCTTTATTTCCCTCACCAAATATTTTGTACATTTTCAAATTCTTTTATACATTTTTGTCTTTTTTATATTTTTTCTTCAAATTCTTTATTTACATCTTTTTAGTCCTATTCTTTTTGTTCTTCTTACTTTTTTTTCCTTTGTTTCCCTCGCGAAATATTTTATACATTTTCAAATCGATCGGTAAATTATTTTTTTATGTATTTGTCTATGATAAAATTATTATCCTCGTAAATGTTTTTTCATCTAATTGTCCCATTGAAATAATTTCTTCTCATATATCCTAATAAAACTTTTTTTTTATTTTTTTGTGAAATGACCCTTTGAAACACTTTTTTTCTATATATTCCCAATAATTAACCTTTAATATCTTCTTCTCAAATGTGTCTCTACAGAAACATTTTATCCGTAATTGTTTCAAATAAATTTACTTCATATGTACAACTAAAAAATTTTGTGTATAATTCACCTTGCCCAATTAAAAACTATTTCCCTTTTAATGTTGCTCTATTTAATATTTTTTTCTACTGGATTTAATTTTTAGGATAGCAATGATAAAAAAGAGTATAACAATTCAAAAAAAATAGGAGTTCCATATTGAAAAAAAAAAGGAAAAGAAAATTGTTAAATATGCTTGCAAGGAGTGAAGAAAAAAAAAGGTTAAATTTTTTTTCTACTGGATTTAATTTTTAGGATAGCAATGATGAAAAAGAGTATAACATTTCAAAAAAAAAAAAAAAAAAGGGACTTCCATATTGATAAAAAAAAAAAGAAAAAGAAAAGAAAGATGTTAAATATGCTTGCACAGAGTGAAGAAAAAAAAATGTTAAATACGCACGTACAGAGTGCGTGTTTTAACTAGTTCTTTATAATCAATACTAACAAAATTTCGGATTAACAAATCCTATTTGGACTGAGAACATAATTATAGGTGGGAATTTTGAGAAATTGGATTTGAGAAGTAGTTATCATGGCTGAGAAAAAATTCATCCAGGGTCTAGAGCTCGCAAATAATTAGTATGTATGTATACATTATACATACGTTATGCTCGCAAATTAGTATGTATGTATACATTATATATATATATATATTGTACTTTGATATATAGAACTGTTAACGTATAATATATAGAACTGTCTAAATTACAATTAAAGAGGTTTAAAACTCTAATTAGTTATTGAGGCCGAAAGTTAGTTATTAATGGAATATATATTGCGAGAAAAATAAAACTCAACTCTACTAAAGTCAAACCAACGTCGTGAATTTAAAA